CTTTGTTTACAGTTTCATTTCAATAAAAGAGCCCACAGCCTATCAAGATCCATGCCACTGTCTCTGAGCCAACACAAGAGTGCCATGGCAGCACGTGCACATTTATGTACACACACACACACACTCACTCACTCACGTTCTGATGAATAGGCCAATGGATACCTCAAGGATATTATTTCAAGTTGCTAAGTAAATGCTAAAGACATGAAAGCTCGAACAAACGTTTCCCCTTCAGTACAGTCAAGGGAGGGAGGTCACTATGGCCGGATGTGTTTAGGGATTGAATGACAAGTGCTGAAACTATGAGAGAAAGAAAGATAAACAGTAGGTAAAATTCTTCTGACAGCTACAGGCAGCAGACCAAGATGGAGAGCCCTTCTGTGCGCAAACACTAGGCCCATATTATGTTGAGGGGCATGTATGTATCACCCATCAACACACAAAATGAATTCTGGAGAATTTCTGCACTAACTTCTAAAGCAACAATGTGTCACCAGAGGCAGAGCAGCTGTTGGTCTCTCTGTCAAGGAAAACTTTTGAATTAAACCCATCTGAAGGACTAAACACACGAGAAATGAGCCTCAAAGAGTCATGTTCTACAATCACAGTCATATCCACATACCAATTTAGAAAGCAACTCTCCCCCATCTCAACTTGAATCTTATCTCATGGCGTCAGTGCTATACCTGTTACAAATAATATCCTTTAAGCCATCAGATCTTTCAGCACTAATCTCTGGAAGGGGCAGTAAAATGCAAATGCATAACAAACCTTAAATAAAGATGGCAAAAGCAGATTATCTTTCAGAAGGCAGATGCCAGAGTAGCAGAGCGACTTAAAAAGATGATTATAAAATACATTGTATATCAGGAGAGCATAACAACAACAACAACAACAACAACACTAGTAGCAAAGAATAATAAATGTGCAAAATACAATAGAGACTTACCAAACACTGAATTCATGATAAACTGGAAATAGAAACAAGGACATATAAAGCCAACCAGAAACACGCAGAGTGGCTTCACGTTCAGAATGACAGAAGTAAATAAGAGACATATCCCCACCTTGCCAGGAAAAAGATACAAGGAGTGTGCAGCACTTTCTCAACATTTCCCAAGTGATACAATAGACTGGAACTGCTTAGAGGCAGGACCAGCTGGTGTTTTGTAGTTTTTCTATCTTCCCCAGCACCTAGCACAGGGCCAGGGCCATAGTAGGCACACAGTAAACATGTGTAATTGAACGTCTGTTAGTACCCACCCCAAAGTGAGTAAGGAACAATGTCCAAAATTATAGGCAGCAGGAGGGGTTCAGAGAGAGGCAGCTTCCCCATGAGGTCTGCTAACAGTGCAAAAACTGGGTAACTACAGCCCTGAAATAGAAGCTGATCTTCACGCAGGCCAGCAGGGTATTGATTCCAGCCTGGACACTTAACTTATCACATGGATAAAGTTGATTGGGAAACCCTTATAAGGATGAAACCAAAAGATTTTTTTATTCCATTTTACTTCAAGTAGAAAAGAGTCCATATTCAAATGAACAAAATCCTCCGTGCTCATTTTTAAGGATATATTTATTGTATTTGCTGTTAACTGCTAAAGTACCTATTCTGTTCAATTTTGGTTTGAAACTCGAGGTATGAATATCTTAAAAAAAATTCTTCCACATAGCAAAGTTCCAATTTAGAAGGGCCCATCACTCTCTTATATGGGTTCAATGATAGAAGAAACAAGAGAATAAATCATTCTCAGAAGGAAAGAGACAACCTTTTTCTTTCTGGTTCATGAGAACGACTTCTGGCTCTAAGAAAAAATTTTAGATTTTCTGGCTACAATTTGTCAACATTCTGGAGTCTGGGATAACTTTAGGATATACAACATCCATGCTGCAAGTTTAAATTTAAAAATGACCTCTTAAGCCTTGCGGAAAGCTTGTCTTAACCAGGAAGCTCCTTCACTGTGACTTGGGTAAAGCCCAGAGAAGTGGCCAAGGGTGAGGGCAGACATAACTGTCCTTAACAGTGCTAATGTCTGGAATATATAGCTGATGGCTGCCAAGCCAACTGGATGATCTTCTCCCTCTCTCTCTCTCCCTCTCTCTCTCTCTCTCTCTCTCTCTCTCTCAATTTCAGTCACATCTTTTTTCTCAAATAAAAAGCCTGTGGAGTCATTCCAGTACCTCCCTAAATCAAATCTGTAGAGATTTGCAAAGGTTAAAGCTGAAAACTGAAACTAATCGGTCCCCAAACTAATGTTTCCATGGTCCTGGCCTTTTCTCTAGGCTATGAATAGCCTCCTTCAAATGTAGAATACCTTTTGACCTTATGCAGGTGCCTGGGGAGGGCGAGCTCATCCCACACTGTGAGCTACTACAACCCATTCACCCCTGCTGCAAAGTGAGGCACGTCCCCAACCCAAAAATCGCTGGACACAATTGGGCAAACTTCTTCAGCTCAGTGTATCTTAAGTTCAGGACACAATGAAATGGTTCAATTTCAGACTTTGCATAGAAATAGACTTCAATCTTTCTTTATTAAACCATTGCTAAGCCTGCATCAAATGATATGGCCCATATAAAGTGAACAGTCATCTCATCTTTGATAAAGATGAAGAAAAAGAACCTGTGTTAATTCTACCAAATTCACACAGGGTCCAAGGCTGAATCACAAGGTGGACTCATATACTACAAGAAAATCCCATGTTAGTGAATCAAATTAGCCTGTTACTAAACTCTGAAAGCAACTTCCCTCCATAACAACAGCAACAGACAAAAACATCCAAGAGATTTCTAGGGACAAAGCCTGATGGAAACAAAGGGAAGGAGGAGGCTTCGGTCATTTATGATAACTCATAAAACTTGAAAAATTAGTTGGACGGAAGTGTTTACAAGTGACTAGAATCGTCCCACAGATTTAGCCTCTGATCCTTGTTTTAAGGGGGAGAAAAAGTGGTTTTTCACTGATTTGGGGTGGGAAAAAAATGTAGCTTTTGAGCTCAGCACAATGAACTATTTATGTGGCCTGACAAGGCCAATCAATCCAGCCTGCTGTTTATTATAAGGAGCAGTAGGATATTGTTAGCTCTGGTGGGTGGGGGCGGGGCCAAAGACGGCACTGGCCCTGGTACACAATTCTTCCCTTCAACTGGAAATTTATGTGTGGCCCAGGTGACCCGGGGGTCAGTATGAAGCCTGGGACAGAATGAAGATGGTTTATTATGTGTTTCATATTTACAGGACGCCCCCATGTGCTATGGTCTCAGAGCCACTGGCAGATTATGACCTAAGAGTAAAAAATTGGTCATAATCAGGCTGTAGGCCTAAGGTGGAGGCTTAGAAAGAAAACATTAAGTCAGTAAGCCGGTCCCTTTAATGCCATTTTCTGGTTAATGAAAAATTCTGTAGGGGACCTCAAAGGTCAGATTTTTCGTCGCAAAGAGACAATTATCTAAAAAGTTCAATTCCTTCACTGATTTAAAGCTCTCAGGTAATTTTGTCGAACTTACCTGGATAATCACCTTTATTCGTTAACTTAATTAATCCCTTATCTTGTTAAATTAATGAATTACCTTAATTCTCTTATTTGCTTTACAAAAACAAGGCTGGCCAGAGAGGCCTTGCCGCTGGTCTACGTGTGTGCCATTCCTCGGCCCACTGACCCAAGGAGCATCAGGAGAAACGGGAGAGGCTCAGATCAGCAAGGGAACTCTAGCTCTCCAAGTCCAACGAGGGCAGGCCTCAGGAGTTCTGGAACCTATTTGCAAGAATGCAGGAGGTGCTCTGGGGGATGACTATAGTTTTAGAGCTAGGTAGGCCTAAAAAAATTCTTAAAATGGGAAATCCCCTCCATTGGCAGGATGGGGTTTAAAAAAAAAAAAACAAGAAAAGAAAGAAAATCCTATAGCTGCTAAACAGTGTGGGCCTCCAGCCAATATTTCATCTGAATAATTCAAAAAAGGAAATGTAACCCAGGGCAGCTGGAGGGGGTAGAGGAAGAAGCAGGAAGGAAGAGAGACACAAAGCTCAAGTCTCAAGCACTATGATCAATGGACAGTTTATTGGACAAATTCTTATGCAGCCTAAATTTGATGAAAGATTAGCTGTTCTTCCCCATGGTTATGTAAACTTGCCTTTTTTTTTTTCTTTTTAATGGAACTCTTTGCTAATACATTTCCGGCTCCTGCTTTTGAACAGCTCTATGTTTCTCTTTAAGGAAGTAATAAGCCCCTGAAAAGCCTGCAGCTGAAAGCTAATCTACCTCGGGCGTGCTCAGTGTGCACCGGGCCTGGTCCATGGGGAGGGTGGGCTCGGGAGAAACTGAGGCAATCCAGTTTCCATTTTAGTATAGAATTGAGTCGGGTTGTCTCTGCCATCTTATAGAATCTCTCCTACCATTTCACACAACAATGTCACAAAGGGCAGATAGGGGAGAAAACAAAACTCCAACAAGCTGACACCTGAAAAATCTGCCTTGAGGCCTCAGAAGGGGGAAACAAGATGGTGAAAGCTTTCCTGGTTAGACACATGGATGGATGAGCTATATCTCTGTAAATACTGCCTCCTAAACCGAGAGAGACAAGGCGGAGCCCAGCGGTTACAGAGAGAAAGACCCTGCTAAAGCCTGCCCTTACATTAAAAAGAGAGCATGGCCAGACGTGCCCGGCTCAGCTGGCACCACAGTGTTCTCTGAAGTCACCCTTCAGCCAAAAAAAATAGATATGAAAGCGAAAGCTAAAGTCCTAGAAAAATCATCATTTACAAATTTAGTCTACTTTCCCACTGTCAAGAAAATTTTTTTTATTAGTTCCCTTTAGTATAGTTATTGTATCGTTACTTGCCGTGTGTGTGAGTGTGTATGTACCCAAAATTTATACAAAGATCAAAACCAAAAGGGCAAAGCCCATTCAATTTTCCAGCAAATGCAAAATGTGATACAGTTCACCCAGAAGTTCCCAGTTTGGGTTTGTGTGTGGGGAGGGGCTCTTTCTTCTTGGCCATACCTCTCCTGTTGGTTCTTAGAATTGTTTCAGAAGACAGCAACGCATTTCCACTGGACACTTCGTGCATGGGCTTTTCTGGAGCTTTGCTGGAGAGAGGGTCTTTCTTCATCTCTTTCTTTATTTCCTGTGAGGACAGAGAAAAGGAAAACAAGATTGTAGTTTAACATTTTAGAATGTCTCTGACTATGTTAAGCTTCAGCTTTCTGGAAATGAACTATAGTGACCTCAACTCAGCATAACATTTTATTTTATTTTATTTTATTTTAACATCTTTATTGGAGTATAATTGCTTTACAGTGGTGTGTTAGTTTCTGCTATATAACAAAGTGAGTCAGCTATACCTATACATATATCCCCATGTCCCCTCCCTCTTGCATCTCCCTCCCACCCTCCCTATCCCACCCCTCTAGGTGGTCACAAAGCACTGAGCCGATCTCCCTGTCAGCAAAACATTTTTAAAACACCATTTCCTGTATGTTGTAGTTTGTTTTCCTTACATTTTTTAGATAAGCACCTGGTCCTATAAAATGTAATAATGTCCAATACAATGCAACCTTCTGTGACTATGGTCATTCCAAGGGATCAAAAAGGCCACCGTACAGCTCCAAATGACAGCCTGTTCTATTTTTTGAACAATGACAATCTTTGGCCAAGCAGAATCGCCCCTCAAAGGCCTTCTGGTTTCTATTCTTCCCAACAGGGGTTTAAAGAAGTATATTCCCAAATCACCATTGTGCTCACAATTATGCTAAACCCAAAAGAAGATGATTTAAGTTCATTTACAGTTACCAAGTTCCTCTGGCTTTTTAATCCCTCAGAGAGAAAAATATAAAAGATAATAAAATAAAATAAAGACTATCATTCTAAGCCAGGGGTCGGCAAACTAAGCCCACCACATGTTTTTGTAAATAAACTTTCATTATAACACAATCCCCTTCATTTCGTTTAGGTATTTCCTATGGCTGCTTTGATGCTACAACGGCAGAGTTGAGTAGTTGGAAGAGACATCCAAGTCAAAACTACCTGGCCCTTTACAGAAAAAGTTTACACTAGGTGGTCTCTTATCAAAGCTCCATTAAGATCTGGATTTTTAAAACCTGATGCCTGATACAATTATTTCAAATTATTGATATTTGAATAATTTACATAATTTTTTTCAAAAGCATTAATAGCCGGAAATGATAGTAACTCACAAAGTGCAGATCTGGGCAGGGTGGGTTCTGGGCCTGTCTGCATCCATGATCACACTGACTTGGGAAAAAGAGAAAGCTAAGGGGCTAGAGCCAAAGCGCGGCTGGGTGGCAGGAAGGACTCAAAGATGAGAGATGTGTTCTCTAGAAAGAGCCTGGGACAAGAATTGGACATGGGTCCTTCTATGAATGAACATGAAGATGGAAAATTTGGTGGGAGGCTACAATTTGGCCTGGGCAGAGGTGGAAAAAACAGAACAGAAGCTTGTCAAAACATAGCCACCGCCTGGCAGCTTCCTACACACCCGAGTGCTAGTTACCGTATCCAATTCCCCGATCGCTGGCTCTGTTCACAACAGCCTCGCCCTCTCTCCCTCATGAGGGCCTCACCGGAAACCAGCAACTGCGGTTGGTGCTCTGCTGGGTTGAGAGTTTCAGCTGGCGCCCCAGGCCAACCCAGCACAAAGCGGTGTGCATGCGTGTGTGTGTACCCGCACTCCCACCTCAGAAGCCCCAGCACCTGCTAGAACAGCAGTTGCTGGGGGTTTCTGCAGCCTCACAGGCAGATGGCATCAGGGGACAATCTGCAAACATTGCCAGCCTGAGCCGCATGAAAGGATGCTTTCTTAGTGATGGCTGCCAGCCTGCTATGGCTCTAGAAGTAAACAAGGCACCATGGGGCCTCATTCCCCAATCGTTGCTTCTTTGGGGGTAGAGAAGTTGCTCAAACATCACTCTCCACTGTAGGGCGGGTATGACTGTGCAAAGACAAATTTCCCACCTAGACACATAACGCAGTGATACAACATCCAATTTTGCCAAGGAGTAATTCAGAGAAATTCAGTGGGTTGCAGGTGACATGGTAAGCACTTGCTTAGCACTAACCACGATGCAGTTAGGCAGAGGTGAGGGGGTGCAGATGTTTGACAGACTAGGGTAGTCACTGGAGAAGGCCTGAGAAGCTATGGTTGCCAAGAATGTTCACACCCAAGGCTTCAGAGCAGCAACCCGTGAGCTTTGAAGGACTGATCTCATCATGCAGGTGCTTAAGGGCTGAGAAACCAGCAACAGGAGAGAGGCTGCTTCATAAGTTTCAGATTCTGTTGTCCCCCCAATGATTGTTCCCATTTGCCAGATACACAAGCCTCATGATGACCTAATTTCTTAAGTTGCTTGTTAGGTTCAAGCAGGGAGAAGAAAACTTAAAATATGCCCTGCATTTTTCCAAAGAAACCAATCAGACATGTAGGCATGGCGGGGCATCCTGAAGACTCTCCATGTGCCCAACACCCAGGTACACCAGGCTCAACGCAGTCCCACCCAAACCCAACATCGTCCCTCCAACCAGCCCCTTCTCTGGGAGAGACGGGCGCTATCTTGCTTGACAGCCCATCATCAACCCACTTACCCAGGCTGGAAAACTCAGTGTTAACCTTCATATCTAATCAGCCACCCAGTTGGGCTCTATCTACTTCCTCAATCTGTTTCTCTCCTTCCTCCCAAGCTGCCTTAAAAACATGAATACCAGGCAAGGAACCTGAATAGACATTTCTCCAAAGAAAATAGACAAATGGCCAATAAGCACATGCCAAGATGCTCAAATCATAATTCACTAGGGAAATGCAAATCAAAACGGCAACGATATAGCCCTTCATTCCCACTAAGATGGCTAGGTTTTTTGGGGGGGGGTTTCTAAAGGAAAACAAGTGTTGATGAGGACGTGGGGAAACTGGAACCCTTGTACACTGCTGGTGGGAATGTAAAATGGTGCAGTCACTGTGGAAAACAGTATGATGGTTCCTCAAAAAGTTAAACACAGAATTACGGTATGACCCAGCAATTCCACTCCCAGGTATATACCCCAAAGAGTTGAAAGCAGGACCTAAACAGATACTTGTATGCCAACATTTACTGCAGCATTATTCACAATAGCCAAAAAGTAGAAACAACCCAAGTGTCCATCAACAGATGAAGAGATAAACAAGATGTGGTATATACATACAATAGAATATTGTTCAGCCTTAAAAAGGAATAAAATTTTGATAATGCTACAACGTGAATGAACCTAGAAAACATCATGCTAAGTGAAATAAACCAGACACAAAAGGACAAATATTGTCTTATTCCACGTATATGAGGCACCTAGAATAGGCAAAATCATAGAGGCAGAAATTGACTAGAGGTTACCAGGGAGTAAGGGGATGGGGGACGAGAGTTAATGTTTAATGGTTATGGAGTTTCTGTTCGGGGTGATGAAAAGTTTTGGAAACAGACAGTGGTGACGGTTGCACAACGTTGTGAATGTAATTAATGCCACTGAATTGTACTTTTAAATGGTTAAAATGGCAAATTTTATGTTACAGATATATTTTTACCACAGTAAAAAATACACATGAATACCAGCTTACATTTGAGAGCTTGCCATGTGCCAAAGTTTCCTCTAAGAGCTGCACCTGGATTGCAACTTTTAACCTGCATAACAGCCCTATTCACAGATGCACACGCCAAGTCACAGAGAGCTAAGGAAATCTGTCCGAGGTCAAACAAGCAGGCACCAGAACTGGAACTCAACCTGCCTAGCTTCAGAGCTCATCTCTTAACCACTCTTACCCCCAAGTCCTGCCTGCCTCCAGTCCCTCCCCTCCCCTCTCAACCTCCACACTGCCTCAAGGGACACTTTCCTAAAACAATTGTCTGCTCTTGTCACTTTCCTACTGAAACCCTCCAGTTACTTCCAAAAGACCACAGGGCAAGCTCTTTCCTTCAAAAAGTTTTCGAATTGCACAGCAAGCCACATGTCCCTGTGTACTCACTTCTGGCTCAAACCATCTGACATACATGCTGACTCCAAGGTACCAATTACCACGCAAATGCAAGGTAGGAGTGCATTTTTTGAACACCCTGATGCTCACAGACATCTGATGTCATGGACTCCTATTGGTAGGCTCCAAAGATAGGTGACGATGCCGGTAATGACACAACCTAACACTGGCAAGGCCTTATATAAATTAAAGTGCTTTAACAGATCTTTTTTCGCCTGCTCCTCACAATAACATTGTCATTTTGTTACTGAAAGAAATCCTGATTTTTCTAGACTGATATATTTTTTCAGACAAGAATCATGAGACTCAGTCAGAGAGGATGCAAGACCATCAAAAGGCTACAAGGCTAGTAAGGGGCAGGGCAGGCCGTGGGATCCAGCTGCAGGCCTTCTACGCAGAGCTCTCTTGCTTACACCTCACCTCCCAGGAAGAACCAGTGTCATGGCTATAGCAGGGACAGTCAAAATCACCCCACTCGTGGCTCCAGTGGAAAATTTCACTTTTCTCCACATCTAAAGAACCTAATTTATTGCTTTATCCATAAGCCCACAAGTACAAAGGCTGAAATCCTTGAAGACCCTTATCATCCACACAAAAAAGCTCTTTGCTGCAAAAGAGGGTGGACTTGGCAGTGCAGTAACTCCTGTCTGCCTACAGCTGCCAGCATCCCTGTACCTGGAGCTCTCCGAGGTTCTGATCCAGGTCATGGGACTCTATAGACTTCCTGGGTATGAGCATTCCTTGCCCCCAACCCTCAGTCTCAGCTTTCTAACCACAAGGCCTAGACTTTTGACCATTTGTTAAGAACATGGATCCTACTATCTCAGTGGCAGAGACTACGCCCCGGACCAGAACTGTGGGCCAAGGGGGCTTACAGAAATTCATACCTGTCCACATATATAAATCAGCAATGATTCTACTTGCTTTAAAACACAACAGAATAGTCGGGGTATCAGCAAACCTCTTTAGGAGGTAAAGGAAACCCAGTTTACCTCAAATCTAATGCCTTAACAATGGAAACTCGGCTTGTACAGTAAAACTGAGGCCATCAATAAACTATCGATGCTCCAATGACACTCAAGCTGTTGTCGCAAGGACCCCCCCGAGTGAAA